AAAAGAAAAAAACACTCCCCCTCCCAACAACAATCTCAAAAGTCAAATGATCAGGCCCTATCAAGGAACATTATTCTCGATTGTTCGCTATCTAACGCCTTTTGTCTTATCTGTTCATTTGTATAATCATTTGTATTGATTGCGAAAAACAAATTAAGAAGATTGTATGGCTGTCGGATATTACAAACAACTACTAAAAGCATTAGTAGTAAACTTATTTCAGCTCGACCCGTGATCTCGATAAAGAAGGCGCAGAATGGGRTGCTAAAAGCTTTCTCAGAAGCAAGAAATTCAACAGAAAGTACAACTACAACTTTCGCTTTTGATATAGACAATGATAATGAACTTCTTGAAGTAAAAAAAGAACGAAAATCAGCTTACCGTGGTACGTTGTTTTCGTTCGCCATCCTGTCGAGCACGTGAAGATGTCAGTTCGCCGTGGCGCGCGCCAAAGTCTGCTTGACACAAAATAACTGAACCCCATTGGCCGGCTTGTATTTAACAGAGCTTATACCATGGTCTGAACCTTGGTTTAACTTCTGTTTAGTTTCATTGTTTTGCCTTGACAACGAGCATAGCAACTAACTATAGTTTAATTAATAGAAGATCGGTCACATTCGTTTTTGAGTAAACAATTGTTAATGTCTGGTTAACTAAAGTTAAATCCGTCAGTGTGGCCACAGCCTGTATCTACCTATGAATTTTGCTTACAAAACATCTCCCTAGAGTACCCGGGGTGAATTCAGATGTCCACAGGGTGAATTCACTCGTTCATACACTTCGATTTACGGCAGGCTACTCCTCTTGTTCGTTAATTCCTAATCTCTCGACAGCAGTTCTTCTCGGTCAAGAATATGAACACAGGAAGACCAAGAAGAGAAAAATGTCCGTTTCCGATGGAGTAGCCTGCGAAGGAGGCTTGGAAGAATCTTCGTAAAGCAATTGTTTTTTTCACATATATTGTAGTGTATTATAGATCCTCTTGGTCACCATATCGTCATTTGTCTTTGCGTGACAAGAGAGAACAGTACGCCGTTGTGCCTGAGTCTAAAATTCAAACATTCACAACAAACGTTTATTCTGAGAAAATGACTTTCTAAAAATCTTTTCTTTCCGTTTATTATTTGATCATAAAACAATCACTTTAAACAGCGTTATTAGTCACAGGAAAAAATATCAAATTTCCAATCGTCTATTGGGATTTTATTGGGAAACATCCCCAACTCAACTAAACGAGTCTGTTGCCAAAAAACTCATTAGAGCGTCTACATATCTTTTTCAAATGGCATACATCCAGAGAGAGCTAAGAAGTCAGATTTGATTTTACACAAACATATTAGATCAAAAGTTGTTAATGATGACACAAAGAAATAAGTAGAT